ACCGTTACACTTCCTCGAAATTGGCTGTAATCGACTCCTGATGCCGATATTGCCAAGAAGTTAAAAAAAAACTTCCTTAAAAGTGAAGGTGTTGTCACTAGCAACCTACCCGCCACCGACTAAAATCTCTGATACTTGAGACACACCAGCACCACTTATCAAGCGCGTGCACGCGACTTAGGGCCTGAGAGGCATTACCTAATCACGCCGAGCACACACACAGGATCGCACACATAAAGATGAGGGATTTACCCTTAGACTATATACTACTGAAGTGAGTATGCAGGTGGCTGAGAGCGTGACATGGCGACCGAATGATAGATACTACCTCTCTTCCTCTAGCCAAGCTATAATTGGTCGGCTCTGTTAGGCAAGAACTCGATCAACCAATCATAACTTGGCTAGAAAGAGAGAGGTGGTACCTATCAGTCGGTCGCAATGTCATGTTCTTAGCCACCTACATGCTCACTCCAGTAGTATATGATCTAAAGATTTGCCACAGCCTAACACTTGCATAAGGGTTTTTGACGCAGCAACTTTATTGATATTTCTTAAAAATATTGATAACTTTATTAAATAGAAATCAAAAAAAATGTTTTCAATTACATATTGACAGAAAGACAGTGCTTTAATTATAGACGGACCTGGATGATAAAGCAAAAATATTATTGTATTAAATCTGTAATAGCTATTGCATTTTTGAAAAATAATAATTGAATAAGAAATTAAACCAAAAAAAGAAAAAACTTACTATAATAGTTTTATCTTATCGTAAAAGTGACTAAAGCAGGGCTAGTTACTGTGAAAAAATATTTATCCTGTAAAATATTACAGGATAAAATGACGGACAAACTAAAGTAGCTTACGCCAATATTGAAAAATGGCTAGAAAGGGCTGAAAAACTATTAAAAAAGTAAGAAGGGAAGCGAAAACTACTATAATTATAAGGGGAGTCCAAATTTCATTATAACAATGAGGGAGGTAGAAGGTAAAAATTTATTAACAAAATTAAAGTAGTGAAGTATAGCAAGGGGAGGAGGATTCTTTAAAGAATTTAACGTAATAAAATCACGCTCAAACTAAACAAATTTCATCTTTTATTAAGGACGGCATACGAGGTGTGATCAAAAAGTAAGGTGACTTTTTGAATTGCGCGCGCTCTTCACACTCTAAGTTAAAAATTTTTTTTTTATGTTGGTACACTAGTCACGATCATATGTTCATAGTTTTGACTATATAGCATGTGTTGTTTTGATGTGAGAGACTTAAAGGTTAGACTCGTGTTTTCGTACTCGGCGATTTCTGTTTGTTAAAAATAATGGAGCAAAGAGTTTGCATTAATTTTTGTGTAAAAAATGATATTAAGTGCTCAAAAACTCTTGAAATGTTGGCAGTGGCCTACGGTGAGTCAACTATGAGCAAAAAAATATTTATAAGTGGTATAAGTTATTCCAAGAGGGCCGAGAAAATGTTAATAATGAACCTCGCTCTGGGCGACCCAGCACGTCAAACACCGACGAAAATGTTCAGAAAGTGAAAGAAATGGTGCTAAAAGATCTTCGAATCACGATTAAAGTAATAGCTGATGATCTTGACATATCGTTTGGCTCATGCCAATCAATTTTGACGGATGTTTTGGGTATGAAAGGTGTATCCACGAACACCATGATAATGCACCTGCGCACAAGTCGTTATTAGTTAGGAGTTTTTTCGCCAAAAACAGTACTTCCATCATACTTCAGCCACCATATTCACCAGACTTGGTCCCCAGCGACTTTTTCCTCTTTCCAAAATTGAAAAAGCCCATGAAAGGACAAAGATTTGCCACGATTGAGGAGATTAAGGCTACATCGCTGGAGGAGCTCAAAGCAACACCCCAAATAGCATATCGGAAGTGTTTTGACGACTGGAAAAAGCGTTGGCACAAGTGCATTATATCTGAAGGGGAATTATTTTGGAGGGGATAACATAGTTTTAGATAAATAAATAAATTTTTTTTTATAAAAATGAAAAGTTACCTTACTTTTTGATCACACCTCGTAGGATAGCTAAGGGGACCTGAGAGAAAGCTAAGAAATGATAAGTAAGATCGTATTTGCGTCCTAATTGTAATTGTAAATACAATATTATGTAAAACAATCCATCGCCGTTTGATTATCATCAACAATTAATGACTTTATCTTTGTGAAGAATTTTACCATCTACAAAGTTAATTGTAATTTCTTAACTTAATACGATAATTATTTTTTTCCTTTACTCTGCCACGTACAAAAATTCTTCACGTTAGCTTATTATACTCAAGAAAAAATTAGAGCAACTGTTGTTGCATACGTAAAACTATACCATATTTAGGTTCATACAAAAAATAGATTTAGCAGCTGTGTTTTGGGATAAAAAATTTCTACAGTCAATTAAGTTACATTATAGACTGTTTTGTTTTACGACATTCAGTGCAAATGTATTGCAAGAAAAAAATTTTTATAGTTAAAAATAACGAGGTTGAGATTGCCATAATAATTTTTTTACTTTAGTAGTTTACAGTAACAAGTCATTTATACATTTGTAATGATATTATATCGATTCAAAAAAGCGTTAACCTCGACACAAAAATAATTTAAAATTGTGCTAAGATTGTTAGAAAAATTAAAGGAATATCTTATAGCAAAATTATACTAATAATTATTTTAAATCACACTAATATGTCCATCAACAAAATGAAAAAAAGTATTTTTAACTTGAAAAAAATAAAATAACATAACGGCAAGTACTTAAAGTACAACAATTGTATCAAAATTTAAAATAACTCTAGTTTTTGACATTTGTAATTTGTAAAAAAAAGCCAATTAATATTCTAAATTATCCATACTTTAATAAGTTCTCATGATTTGTAGATGCAACGGTATATCTGCTAGAGTTTTTTTTGGAATATCTGGGTAGAACCACAAACATTGTAGAAAATTACAAGTATAATAAAATACTTTTATTGTCTTTACTGTTAAAAACGAAACAATGTATGAATTGTCAACATTCATTTATATCGACTTATGAAGCATATAGCAGTAAACAAATTTAAATTTCATACAAATCAATATTTCATGTATTAAATTCAAAGACACTCATATTAAATTAGAGTAAGGGGTTGGCACGCAGAGCATTTGTTTACTTACACATGGCACATGTTATAAGACTTTTAGTGTTCCAAAATTTCAAATCATTTTTTTATATTTAGTTTAGTTATAAATAAAGCAATTTCATTACGGGAAACTTTGACGATGAGCCTCAAGTAAGGCTTATCGAAGATATCAGCGAGGCACTGCTGAAAATCTTATCAGACAGCGTTTCTCGTAAAAAAACACACTATCAAAGATCCCCACGCGGGAAACTTTGAGGATTTGATATAGAGTATTATCACATTATTCTTTATTAAATCATAATAGTTGTACTACTAATAAAACTTAATAACGTCGTTATAATAAAAAAAAAGTTTTTATTATTCTTTAAAAAAAAAGTTGCACGGATAAAAGTAACTTACGTATCGCTAGAGATGGTTATTCGTCTTAGAAAAACTTGATCTTGTGTACAGGAGTCAGTAGTTATTGACCAAAGAAAAGGTTTAGAATAACACTCCTGTGTTCTGTAAATCCTTCTACAAGTAGTAGGTTTGGAAGACTGGACGAGGAAGTTGTGGTGGAATCGAGGTCCAAGCTCACAGTACCTGTAAGCAATAGGGCAAATAAAATAATTAGGACGAGAAATGAGAAAACTATTAGTTATCAGTAAATGTTTAGTTATAATTATTTACAAAATAAATTTTGGTTATAATGATGTTGTTAATAGTCGTTAAAGAATCAATATGGAAAAAAATAATGTCAGCATATATATTTGTGTAAGAATAATTGTGAGAGATTGTATAAATAAACCGGAGTGAGTATTTTTCGGCTATCGGTAGTTAAAAAATTGTAAAACTACTTATTTATTGGTTAACTACGATAAGCACTTTCTCATACTAAAGGCTATCAATTTTTTGTGCAAGACAATAATGCAAACAATCTACGCTACTATTGATTGAACCAGAATAATTTCATATAGCTCTCAATGATAGTAAGGAATGGTAGATGCACTCAACATAACCCTTTTTGATCACACCTCTGTTCATCAAACGAACCATATTCATTGGCCTTACTACGCTGGATCGCCTGTCAAACTTACATTTGCAGAATCGGCAACTTAAATAATTATTTACTAAAAACTATCAATTAGTGGGACTTGCGCTTGTGGAAACTTTTGTTAAGAAGATCATAATCTACAACATGTATTAACTTCAACCCATTTGCCCGAAACCCAAGATCCCATCTGATTGGTGCGGGGTCCTATGTTGTTCCAAGAATAACCTTAAATACTAAAAAATTTTTTTCTATATCGGATTTCTTACATAGAACTCGATTTCCTTTACTGTTAGTTTTTGCTATTAATATTAATGGATCCTATGGTTAAAATATCAATAATGTTTATCTATATTATTAAAGAAACCTTAACTTTTCCTTGGTTAATTTTATGTAGCATTATCGACATGCAAGAATAAAAACGGGATATTTATTTAATTAAAAAGGGAGAATAGTTTGGATGTTAAAGACATTGTTTGTAGACAGATTTTTGATGAAACAATACTTTTGTACCACATTTTCTATCAAACCAGTGGAGTCTTCGGTTATTTAAATATTAAAATAGTTCTTTTATGACTATTTAGATAACATACCGATGAATACGGTAGTACTGTAGGGGTCAAAAAAGTAATATTTAAAAACCTTTACGTGTTTTTCATATTGGTTTCTATTACTTTATCACTATGAGAAAGTAAGTAACATATTTGTATAATGCATTTACGAAAGATAAATGACAATATCTGAAAAGCTTAATACTTTTTTATAAAAATGTTCTCAATGCTTATTAATAAATATTGAAGAGTAATCATTGTGAACTTTTTTTTTTTTTTTTACCAGGTTACCACAACAGCCTACTAGCCTAGTCACCGAGGCCACCCACTTACCACCTATATGTGGGAATATGTTACCACACCCATTTCCAACCCATTGACTGATGATATACCTAATACATGGGCACAGTGCGAGCATATCCAGTAAAACACCTTGCCAGTTAAGCTGTTACTTTCTGCACCAATGGTGCATCGGGTTCACTCGCCACTGTGTAGCCTTTTTCCGGAGGACTCCATATTTCAGGAAGTCCACTCCTTTCCGATTAGGCCAGCACTCTCTGCCGACGCATCGGATCCAGGCTAATTAACATCTCTGGAAAAGCCCCATATTTCAGAGACCACTCCTCGCCGATAAGGCTGGAGATCCCTGCCTGGCGTATCGGATCTGCTAATCCCTACCTTCTGACGCTGTTTCGCATTTACCCAGGCCTGAAAATCTGTGGGGCAAGAAAAAAACCCTGGAGTTACTCTGAAGGAAAATTCCATAGAAAAACTTGCCCCGAAACAGCTGAGGTTACATAGGAACTTTTGCCAATGAGAACAGTTTTTGAAGAAATCTGCATTCACTGGCAATCAAACTTACGGTCCCTAGAACAGCATTGTATCAGTTACAATCACGCTTATTTCTGATCCAATGCCACTCCTTAACTATTATATATTTTTGTATGAATTATATGTGACGTTGCACTTTCGCGCCCTGAGACACTATAGAGTGTCGCAGCCAGGGCGGTCCCGAGACAACGCCCAAAGACTCTATCGCCAACAATCTCGCCAAAGTCCGCCGTATCCTGAAACGCGAAAAACAACCCCTGTCCCCACGCTCACGATGTCCACTGCTTGGCCCGAGAGACTCGTCTCTGAGGAGGTCCTGCCGGCGGTACTCGATCCCCCAATACACACGTAAGGACACACACACGCTCGCACACTCTACTTTACCCTTACCTCCGGGTTCACCATGTTCCGGGTCAAATCAGCTCTTGGCCTGTCGATGCCCTGGTCTCGCAGATGACAGCTGGGGGTGGCGATGGTCCGCGTCTCCTTGGTCGTCGGTCGCAAGGTCGTTTCCGGCTGGCTTGGGAACTGAAATCCGCTCTTCTCCTTCTCTCTCTCTCTCTCGATTCTCTCTCTCTCGATCCGTGCTACCGGAAACGCGAAAACTCGGGAAGCTCTGGTTCGCTCGAAGGCTACTACAAGAGTGTCGTTAGGCCCACCAATTAGTGCAGCCTCGCGCATTACCACACTATATCTACATACATA